TGTGGCTGTGTCTGTGTCTGTGTCTGTGTGTTTATGTGTGTGTGTGTGCGTGTGTCTGTGTCTGTGTCTGTCTGTCCGTGTGTCTGCTCGTCTTTGTTTATTCATATATATATATATATTCATATATTCATATATTCATATATTCATATATTCATATATTCATATATATGTATATATATATATACATGTATGTATATATATATATGTATGTATATATATATATACGTGTATGTATGTATATATATATGTGTGTGTGTGTATGTATATATATATATGTATGCATGTAGGTTTAATGTGTGTGGATACATATACATATACATCTACATCTACATCTACATATACATATACATATACATATATACATATATATATATATACATGTGCTGGGTGTCTATGTGGACATCTATGGATAGATGTAGATACACATCTATGTGCACATATAGCCAGGTACTTGTATCCTCTTTTCCAGTTATATCCCGGACCCACAAGTACAACAGGCTGCAATGCAACATGCCAGGATGATATTGAAGCAGTTGCTACTGCACATGTGCTGCGACACCTGCTGGCACCGCACATTCTGCATGTGTTCAGCATCTTGCCCGTGGTCCTCGACGTCTCTGACAATGAAGCTCGAAGAGGTTTAGCACGCTTTGTGAAGCTCTCAGGTTTTCGATGATTTCGTGGGATACCTGAGCCTGACTGCACCGACTTTCGCTCTGAGAAGGTTCGAAAGTCCACCAGCAGGCTGACGATGAATGGCCCCACTCAAGCCGCCTGCACCATGCTGCTCATGGTCTGCACGCGTGACTGGACCTTTCAGCATTGTTTTGCTTACGGACAGGGCATCGCACAGACATCTCTGAGATCCCAGGTGAGTGCCTTACGTCGCCTTGCATGGTCAAGTGGCTCCTGCAGGCCTTTTCCCGTGCAAGAAACGGCAGCGCCGAACCCCGAAGCCGCAGCTCACTTCTACTTTGTCCGCAATCCGATGCATGTACAATACACTCAATGCACTGTCTGATGACGATTAGGTCGCAGAGGGAATCTGTCACGAGATTCGCCCTAAACCCTAAACCAATGCCGTGTAGCCAAAGATCCCTCAAGTTTTGGCCTTCACGGCGTTTGCCAGGCCAACCATGTTGCTTCCTCCTGCTGCGTCCTGCCGATTCTTGGAGATGAGGACGCCATTCGGTACTGGCTCCCTGTAGGCTAGACCTCAGGGCCTCAATAGTCTGGTGAATCACATCCCATTTTCGAACATGGTGTAGCCTCATACATCGTCTAATCCTAAACTAAAGCCCAACGGCCCGATGAGGGCTGCCTCTCAGATAAAAGTGTACTGCGGACAACAAGTCCCTCATCTCAGCCATAATGGCTGCATGTCATTATGGTATGGCACGGCATGGTATCGGTGATGTGGTTAGGCCCTAGGCATGGTGTTTAGTGCGGTTCGAATTTTCTCGGAAGAGCAATTCCTGTTCCTGCAACATGGATCTCCAGCAGGAACACCATCCCAGAGCAATTCTGTCAAGACCCCGTATCAAGACGATGCTTGCATGTATGTGTGTATGCGCAGGTCGCACATGCATGTAGCGACATACACATGCACAGGATGCCGGTCTACTTGTCGCTTTGTCTCCTTCCTGCTGTGTGTCGGTACGTTTGCGCACTGCACCTTCGCATCATATTCCCCAGCTCCATAAGCTTTAAAGCGTGGCGGGATATCGGCGCACAGATGAGCTTTGCATTGTCTGGTTTAGGGCTGGACTGGAAAACCCTCAACCCTGAACCCCTAAACCCCTAAACCCTAAACCCCTAAACTTTCAAACCCCTAAGCCCTAAACCCTATAAGCCCTAAAACTCTAAACCCCTAAGCCCTAAATCCTAAACCCTATGAGCCCTAAAACTCTAAACCCCTAAGCCCTAGCTCTCCCCAAAAGAAGCTCGGTTCCGGGCCGGAGGAGTTCCTCGTCCCCACGTCGTCAGCGGCTTTCCAGCGGCTCGGGGAGCACCCTGACCTCCAGGATCCGGGGGCTTTAGGGTTCCATTAAAGGGATCTATAACGGTTCCTTTAAAGGGATCTATAAGGGTTCCTTTAAAGGGATCTAGAAGGGATCTATAGGAAGTTTAGGGGTTTCGGGGTTTAGGGCTTTAGGCTTTAGGGTTAAGGGTTTTAGGGGTTTAGGAGTTTAGGGTTTTAGGGTTTAGGGTTTAGGGGTTTAGGGTTTAGGGGCCATTTTTAGAGGGACACCTTGAAGGGGATGCAGCGATTTTAAAGGGAGATGATATATGATCTAGGGGCCTCTACAAGATCTCCAAGGCAAAGGGCAAAGGAATTTCATGCTCTGGGGTCCTTTCAACGGCTTGGAGCCTTCACACGGCGTGCTTTGCACAAAGCTTTGCCCCTGCGTAGTCAGTATGATGCAGCTCTAATTACTTGGGGCAGAGGTTTTATGGAGAATAAGGCTGCTGATTTAAACCCTAAACCCCTAAACCCTAAACCCTTAGAGCAGTGCTTGTGAAACGTGCATACATAGATTAAGATATGGTTATCACATGCCGCAGATCCCAAGAGGCCCCCGGTAAATATCATACGCACCGCTGACACAGTGGATCGCCATGCCATGGAAAATGGAGCGTTTTTTCAAGCACAAATGTGTGTGGCTTGAGAGCACTTCACCTCATGTAGGCTCTGCACAGGAGGAATTGGTGCATGTCAGTTGACAGGAGTACAGTATTTGTTTGAAAGCGTGGCATTATTGCAGTAAGGTGCACCCACAAAGAAGCCTGGTGAAGCAAGACGATCACTGCCAACACGAGTCAATGGTCGTAAGATCAACTCAACTTCTCGGGTTTTCCGGTGGAGGCAATGAGCAATCGAAGAGAGCACAACAGAAGAAGCAGAGAGCGACATCCTTGGCATCGAAAGTGGTTCAAGCGCAGGTTCTGCAGCTTACCCCATCGGGAAGGAGCGGAATAGCGGTCTCGGAAGACGTGCTGTGCACTCTGCTATTCCCGGTTGTGACCAACCCCTCAGCACACCGAAGTCCAAAGCTGCCATCAAGCTGCGACGCGGCAACCGTCCCAAAGCCACAACCGCAGGAGGCATGGCTACGGCTTGTAGAAAGCCTACATGTATACAAACATGTAAAGCATAAATTTCTAGGTGTATAATATATGGGTGGATGGGTGGATAGATGGACTACTGAATGGATGCATTGACAGATCCAGATAGCTGTGCACGCACACATCTGTAACTGTCTACCTTACACCCATTTTATGCCAAGAAAGGCACCTCGGTTCCCCGGCAGCAAGCCCAGAGAGCCCAATACCCCTTCATTAAGGAATATGCCTTAAATCATAATACTAAGGCCCCTATAATTTAAGGTATATTCCTTAATTCAGGAATATACCTTAAAAGGCCCCTAGAAGCCTATAATTGAAGGTGTATATTCCTTAATTAAGGTGTATTGGGTTCTCTGGGAGCGGCCCCGTGGACAGGAGCATGTCAATGTCTCCCGCTACCTCAAGGTACTGGGCGCGATCTTCATGCAGATTCTCGGCCTAATATAATATAATATACTATAATATAATATAATGTAATATAATATAAGGCCTAACACAGAACATTAGTAGCTGAGTAGGTGACCTTTAACCTTTGTGGGCTTATAAAATCCTACCATAATTGAAAGGTTAACCTTTTGTGGGCTAGGGTACTCAGCCCCTAAGGAACGCTCAGATCCACGGATAGGTGAATTGCAGATAAGATAGGACACCGCCTTTGAGTAGTTATGTGTTTTCCACAAGATAGGTTCAGGCTCCTAGTACAGTCAGGGAATTGGGACTAGACAGGTTTGTAGATTGTCAACTATACAGATGAGAGTAGCTGAAATAAATGTGGGCTGAAATGGTGTTCGAAAAGAACCCTGAAGAAGCTTTTCGGAGTTATCGAATAAGAAAAGAGATTGGAGCGCTTGTTGTCATCGTAGAGTCATCGTTGGCATAGCTAGCGCTCCAATCATCCAGGCTTAGCGAGGTATCGAAGCATTCGGGGTGTCCGCTGGCGCGGAGCACGCTTTGGAGGAAACTCTGTTCCACATGATTCTAGACTCTGTATTCTGCATGCGGGCTGCTTTCCATACCGGTAGCCGCCTCAGCAGGATCAATTACCCATGCATGGACTCACGATTTTTCAATGGTACGGCCTTTGGCTAAAGCGTAGCCTAACCAGTCAGGCACCCCCCCTTAGTAATCCCTGTTCGGAGGCCGCAACATTCACCCCACAGCAGTTCTTGAGAGCATTATACCCGGACGCCTGAACCTTAAACCATCGAACGCTTCAGAACCAATAGGTCTGCCTGCCATCCTGGAGCGGATAGGATATAGGGGACTCCCAGCACAGTTTGACATAAGGCTTGCTGACATATATATCTATCTATATATATATATATACAGACATATACATATACATATATATATATACACGTACCTTTGTCTCCTACGTCAGGACAGTTCTAGCCATTTCTAGGCTCGAGCATTTCCCAGGATCGCGGTGCACTTCTGGCCGAAGTCGTACTCAGAGTCTGCCCTGGGCCTCAAGGCCGCGCAGGTGGCTCAAAGGCTACAAGGAGACTGGGCCTGCGGTGGGGGATCGGAAATACGGTTGATGATAGAAATCCTGCATGACCTTAAGGCTCCTAAACTATGGGGATTATGGTATATTCCTTATTGTGGGTAATGCAGATTTATATCATCAACCGTAGTGCCTTCTAGGCCCCGCATAATTGTGGTAGAAGAAAGCCCCGAACCCGATGCTAGTAGCACTACGAATCTAGGCCCTAACTTATGTTGGAAATGGGGGAGGGCTTGTCCTTGGGGGCCGTGGTAGGCTTGGGCCCCAAAGAGGGGGACGCCACATTCTTCCCGGCTTCCCTTATGATGGGTGGCTGTCCCAATGTTGTTGCCCTTTACGCGGTCAGTGCGTCTAATGAGATGGGGATCTCAAGTGTGGTATCTTGTTGTGAGCAGGGTGGTACTCGAGAAGTGTAGTGGGTCTGAAAGCAGGGAAACACAAGCCAGTTCACGAGAATCAGGGAATGTGGAGGAGCCGGAAATAGTGGTGGTACTCTCGGTGCTACCAGGACATCCGACAGGGAACCGGGGACCCACTATGTATGGAAGCCCATAACAGAGAACAGTACTGTAAAGAGATGAAGCTCCAAGTGGTGAACATATGCTCGCCGGCGTCTTAGGAGAGCAGTCGGCAACTCTGAGCTCACTTCTGGATGCCTGTCATGCATTAGAGGTGATTTGAAGTCAGGGATTCTTCGGCTTTCCAGGGCCTCAGATGGAGTTTACAAGTTTTCCATACGTTACGAAGGTCGACGGGGCTTGAGCGTGGTACTTCAGCATGGAGGCTGTTGCGGTCCGCGCCTAATAGCCCTCCGCCAGCATTTGTCTTCCAATCTAAAGACCACACGACGATAAACGAGTAGAGCAGTCATATGACTCAGATGAAGGCGTTAAGGCCGGTTTTTCTCCTTCCGTCAGAGTTCCCTAAACCCTAAACCGTGAAGGCTCGCGCGACGGAAAAAGGCTCTCACAAAAAACCTAAACAGTTCCCAGGACATGTCGTGGTTTACCTCTCAGAAGTCAGTCTTGCTGGAGACGGTCGAGGAGCTCTCGCCAGTGGCGGCGAGCAGTGACCAGGCCTCGGGCTAGTATGACAGTCAGAAAAGCTGCAATACTGTTGATGATATAAATCCTGCATTATTTTAAGGACCCTAAACTATGGGAATTATGGTAAATTCCTTTTTATGGGTAATGCAGGATTTATACCATCAACCGTAAGAGCCCGAACGATATTGAAAGTCAAGAAAAAGCAGCGTCAGTCGCTGCCCTTTGCCCGCTCCTTTCCGTCCCCGACGACAAGATCACCCACGTGACATACGCACTCCGACAGCACCGTCGGCAAGAGCAAACACACATAGGCGACACAACAGAAATTCCGAAAATCCTTCGAAGAAGCTTCTGGCAAGGACAAACGCAGCACTTTACAGCAAAGGCATGTGTCAAGGTTTCAGGGGTTCTCCAAGACTGTGTGGGTTTGCTGCCTTCAACCGCGTCGTCATCAATGTCAGTCAGTATGTTCATCAAGAGTATCAGCATCACGACCACCAACACTATAGTCACAGTCATCACAGGTGTTGTCGTCATCATCAGCATCATCATCATCGTGTTTGTCCGACCGTCACCATCACCACCAGCTTGGTGATAATGCCATCACCATCATCGTCCCAGTCGCTGTCCACTCCTCCTCCCCCTCCTCATCCTCCTCCTCATCCCCATCATCCTCATCTTCGTCGTCATAGCCATCGTCATCATCGTCGCCGGAGGTCATCGCCATCACCGTCCTTCTCAGCTCCATCATCCCATGCACTCTTTCGATTTTGAAAGGGCAACGGCTGTCTGTTCCTCCGTGACTCCCAGGAGGAAGCGAACCACTTGGAGCAAGCAGCCGAGGCCCCGGAGGCGGAGGACACCCCTTTGCGCTGTTGTTTACGAAAATAGGCTTCCGAAAGGGTTTAGGGTTTAGGGTTTAGGGGCCTTCATGGCTCAGTGCTGCGGCGCTAGAAGTGGGTAGAGCGGTGCGCTCTCGCTGTGGGTTGTCCCGAAATGATATAGGGTTGAAATCTGGCACCCCGCACGGTTGACAGCGTTGATCTTGGGATGAGCCCTGAGCGAGGCCGGTTGAAGCTTCGCACTCTCCCCCTAGGACACTTCCTTGAGCGCCATGTTTCAGCTAAGGGAAAGTGGGCACCCTAAAAAGGTCGGCACTTGCCTTCTATCCCAAGAGCCTGGAAACGCAGAATAAATTTACGCCCTTCCATTCTGCGTTTTTGTTGCAGTGTGTACGTTGACCCTCAACCCTAAACCCTAAACCCAAGGGTTGTAACCTGGTCATGTCGACGGTCCTTTGCTCTGCAATTCTTTTCTGCAGGGAGTCTTTTCCAGCATGTGGGGAGTTAGATCCTAGCCTTTCCAACGAGATTTTGCAGCCATATGGGGCCATATGCGCTTGGTATTCCAAGCCGCTCCAAGGTCTGTCAACATAAGATGTAAGGAGTGGGGTTTAGGCTTTAGGGTGTTTGGGGTTGAGGGCCATCGCTGAATCTGAGGGGTTCTGGGGCTTTGACGGCCTTGGACCAGCATTCAAGGCGAACTCGGAGCTCAAGACCGAACGCTGGAAGTTTTAGGGACAAGAGCTTAAGGGCAGAAAGTTTAGGGTTTAGGGTTAAAGTTTAGTGTTGTAGGGTTTACGCTGCGATAGGGTGTAATTAGGTGGTGTATGCTGGGGTAGAATGAGGGGTTGCACCTATGCAAAACGGCGTTCAGGAAGGCAGATGCTTGATACAGGGAAGGCAACGAAGTCCAAAAGGATGCTGCGCGACACCCTGGCCTGGGTTAGTGTCGATGAATTGCAGCCAGCGGCACTATGAAACGGATGCGTACCCGTACAATGTGTGTTATGCGATGTACATGTTTATGATGTACACACAATGTCTAGTCACGACTGCGGTTTCTTTATGATGGTAAGTTATTCGGGGCTCTTGACCACCCCAGAAATCCCACTCCTGGCGGAGGAGTTGGAGCCCTATTTGTTGGAGGCCCTCCGAGAAGAAATGGTCGAAGCAGAAATCTCCTGAGGCGGGGATCTCAGGCTTCAAGCAACGTTTCCTCATCTTCTCGAGTACTTCGCAGCCGGGGGCGTTGGAGCTGTTTCGTCTTCCGACCCCCCGGCTGCAGGCTTCGATTCAGGTGATCGCTTTCTAAGAGGTCTTGTGGAATTTGAAGATGGGGTCTTCAGGGCAATCAAGCAAGGGCCCCGTTCTGGAACGGTCTCATTGGAGCTTCCACGACAAGAACATCGAAGCACTGCCTGTGAGCTATTCCGTGCTACAGAGAAATGCTGAATTTGGAACAGGCCGCTTCTGCAATTTAGTGAGCAGTCAAGCCATTCAGCCAGCAAAGGAAGCCCAAGTAAGTGTTGAGATTCTACGGCCAAGAGAATCATGGTGGCATGCCTTATGATTATGTTTGCTATTATCATGGTTTTCCAGTGGGCATTCTCGGTGTTCTAACAACAATTCATTTGGGCCCCAGTCAATGACGTCGGGTCACTCAGGCTTGTCAGTGCCTGAAGGCCGATGGCGTTGAATACCGCTCCCTAACCCTAAACCCCTAAACCCTAAACCCGAAACTCGCTTTATCAGACCACGCAAAGCTTCGTCCACCCACCTCCTGCAAGTTCCCTTCTCCGCTGGCGTCAGGACACATTCCCACGAGGTGAACAGCCGCGCGCGTTTTTGATGGATTGTTACTGTGTTCCATCCGTCCCCCCACAGGCCCACTGGCACAAACACACCCTACCTCAACTCTTCTCGTTACTGTCAGCATGTTTAGTTTTGTGATAGGTTTATTTGTATGGGTATAACTTTTTTTTCGAACAGTGCTGTTGGTTCGTCCCCAGCCATGCGGGCTATGGCGTGCGACATGATATGTCACGAGTCCGCCTCTAATTGGGATCCTGTGTCAAGTCGAGATCCCTTGGCGGTCCACGCGGCAGTTAGATGTGGAGCTCTGAGTATGTGAACTGCGATTAAGAATAGTTTTAGAACACTGTTGCACCCATGCTTATGGCTGTCCCCCTTCAGATATATTTCCTAGGCAGGAAAGCTTAGGGCACACGATTCATAGCGAAAATCGCTTGTCATTACTGCTATGGATAACACTGGTGTTTTCTTAATGAACCAACCTACTACAAATCTTGATTGGTGTGCAGACTGGGCTATTGTGTTACAGGTGCGTATTTCCCAGTGCACGAAGTAGGGCCCTTTTTGTATAGAAGTCCCTCAGTTGAAGTTTTTGCTATGTACCTATCATTTGGGCACAGATTTGAGCGCTTTGCTGGAAGCTATCACACATCTGCTGACTTGGGTTGCAATTCTAGGCCCAGGGGGAGTTCTATGTACGGTTCTATGTATTCTCTTGCAAGTAGAAGGGGGCAAAAATGCGAAGATTTCCGACCGTCACCCACTGAGCTCCACATTTAGATCTTGCGAGCCTCAATCAGATCGGCCCAAAGGGCCCCCACAGGCTTCAGAAAACTGGCCTAGAGGCCTAGAGGTCTGAATTCCAATTTCGAGCACCGTCCGTTTTTCCGTGGGGCACATTTCATCGGACCGGGGCCTTCCTTTTCAGAAGAAGCAGGGAAAGAAGGATCCTGAATTTGGGTAGCCTTTGCAGTCGTAAAGGACTGGATTTCTGGACTCAAGCACTCTTCTGAAAAGCTGCCCGGCGTGCACACCAGTGAATTCTTCGCTGAAGGCGAGGTTCCTTGAGCCAGACATTGTCCGGTCTATGTGCTGCAAATGGAAAAGATGCAGGTTGCCATAGGATTGTTGCTCAGGCGTTCAACCAAAAATTGGATATGCCGATTTCGTGCTCTTTGCAGCAGGTCCTTCAGAGATAGTGCAACTCAAGCTTGTTCTTTCTCCAACAAGCAAGTACTTGGTGTTTATCGTGCCCATAAAGCCTTTCTGTTAATCGATGGGACCCATTTTTTGCATCTTTGACGTAGTCTATCTAAAGTTTAAAGAACAGCTACTTATTGATATAATATATCTTCCTTGACTTGTAGATATATTTCGAATAAAAAGTTTTTTCAAGCAAGGTAAATAAAATCGAAATAGATATATAAAGAAGACTTCTTTCGCTAATAAGGAATTATGTTTAAAACGTATATTTATCGGTCAATAAGATTAAGATTTGGCGATGGTTCGATTATTAGATAAGAAATTGATGATTTCATTAAATTATGTATTGATTAAATAAGTCAGCATTTCGATTTTTGTTTATACGAAGAAGAAATATAAAGGTAAATACCAAAATATTGGCATGAAGCTTGAGAAATTTAATGAATTATGAAAAAGAAAGAAAAAGACTGAATTTTTTCTTTGATTAATCTAGGGAAATTTTCAATAAGAAAAATTTCTCTAATAAAATGGTATTGTGTTGGTCGCTACATATGGGTCTTTTGGCGTAATACGTTTAGAAGGTTTTTTTACGACACTAAATTTCGGCGTTTTTTTTCGGGAGCATTTCTTTCTCGATACAAAAAATTCAGATATTTTGGTAGCTTTAAGAAATCTCGCGGTATAATTTCGGAATTTTGTTAACTTTAGGGAGATAAATTTTCGATAATAAAATCTCAGAAGTTTTCGGTAGATATGGTCGCGAACATAAAATTTCTGAGAATTGTGGGATATGTTCGTGGTAAAAAAAAATCCGAAATTTTAGTAACGGTCGGGAATACGTCTTAAGAATGAAGCTTTGAAGGAGAAATATATCCGATTTTAGGATCGCTCGAAAAGTACGCAAGAGGTTTGCAAGAGGAAGCGTATGAGGAATTGAGTGCGGAAATTTGTTTGTCGCGGCATAGATATCCCAGATAATTTCAATAAGAAGCGTACTAAGATCTTAGTAATATTAGCTCCGGTGCCGTTTTTTCTAAGCACAGGACAATATACGTCTCCTATCTGTCTATCGATTTATTTTCGTATTTGCTTTGGGCAAATAGGAGCTATTTTAGCTGTGAGATCAAAAAGCATGGCCAATCACTGTATTATTAGATTCAAAGCATATATTCT